ATAAAGTCTTTATTTTGATTTAAATAAAGTTTTAAATTTCCCGGGATTTTTCTTAAGAGTCAAGGTTTGAAAAGTCAATGTGACACTTCGGATTCGTATCCGGGTCGGATACGGGTTGGGGGTGTTACAGTACATATCTGAGATAAATTCTTGAGACACCTTCAGAGTTTTTCTCACTCGAGAGATTATCACTTTCCTTGATCGTTCTGAACGACTAAATGCTCTCCTGTGATCGAGGGGGTTCTGGATGTTCATTTCAACTATAATTGGGGTAGTATTAACCTGACTCCTTAAGTTGACCCTTGCCTTACTGGTTTTCGGCAAATCTGATATAGGTATCTGAGGTGTCTTATAGGTTATATCTGCCCTATTCTTTCTTAGAACTATGGGCCAATCTCGAATTACCTCCATGGGAGCTTTTTGATTTCTTTTCCCATTTTCTTGCGCCCGATATTATTCGCAGGATTTGGTCACATTAGTTTTTGTTGAAGTAACGATTTCTGGGCATTGAGCCTTAACCCCTTCTTTTATCTTGCATTTTTTAATTGCTTGCTCTAAAGGATCTTGGAAATTTCCCTCCAGGTTACCAGGAACCTTAGCTGAACAATTTGGAATTCCAGTTTGGTTTATCCAAGGAACATCCTTATAGGTCCAATTCTCATTTGGAGGCCATTGTGGTTGAACAAGTCGTAGAGTAGTTAATCTGGTTGAGAGCATTTTTGGATGCAATTTTCAATTCGAATAGTAGAAGGGAGGAAATTAAAAACCCTGCACATTTCTTCTTCTTCTTGATCACTCTATAAGGTTTGGCACCACGTTCAACTGAACAAGACCTCACTGTATTAATCTCAGCTTCTTTCTCGACAGTATTGTCAAATCCTCTTATCTTACCATTCTTGATAGCTATCTCGATCATTTCTCCACTCATGATGATGTCGGAAAAATTATTAGGGGCAATCCCTATCATGTGATTAATATAGGGAAATTTTAATGTACTGATGAACAAGGTAATGAACTCCCTTTTAGTCAATGGTGGATGCACTTTAGAAGCAACGTCCTTCCATTATTGTGAATATTGTCGAAAGCTTTCATTGCAATTCATATTCATGTTTTGCAGTATTGTTCGATTAGGGGCCATATCAGTCATGTGCTTGTGTTGACCCAAAAAGGCTTGAGCTAAGTCCCTCCAAGAACGTATTCGAGTACGTTTTAGCTGAGTATACCATTTAGATGCAGACCCAGATAAACTATCTTGGAAATAGTGGACCAACAACTTTTCATTCTCCACATAGACAGTCATACGACGACAATACATAGTAATATGATATGATCATGCTTAATATTACGCATTTGCATAATATTTTGTCTTTCCTTGGCCGCATAATATTTTGTTTGATCATAAAACTTTTTGTCCATTTACGGTTTCTTTCCAATTTGATGAACAATCTTTCAAGTCAACACCTTTTGATTATGCTATGATCATGCAATGCAAACAAAAGAAATCAATATAGACAAGTTAGAGCAAAATAAAAAATGAAATAAGAAAGGAAAAAAATAAATTGGTTAGTAATTAATGGAAAGAAAAATCCTATCTATCAAGGTGTAAATCCTAACCTCATGCTTTCTAATTCCATGCTTTGTTTGGACTAATTAACCTAACTGTATGATTTCTAGTTCGCATGCATTTATTCAGGAAAAAAGAAAATATAATATTAAAAGCTAGGCCTTATTTCCCCTTTGTGTACACTTATGGAAATGATTTCGGTATTGTCTTAGATCAGGAGAATTTCTAGGGTTTATTATATGCAGAGTTTCAGTTCTAGGAGTAAAGGTACTCGAATTGTCCTTGTTAGTGCCCCTTGGGCTGCCAACCCTCAATCATAGTCCACTACAGACTTAAGCAGATTGAGTTCAATCTGAGGGGACACATTTCCCTATGCCTGACATGGAGAATAAATTCTCACGAAGACATAGGATATATGAACCCCGAAAGTTACTCGCTAGGTCTGACACGGAGAATAAATTCTCACGAAGACGTCGCTTTCACTCCCACTTAAAAGGGACAAGCTTGATTATAAAGCTTATGTTATGCAATGCACATGTTGTGTGTGAGGAGAAATTTTCAAACCTCTGACAAACAAATAAATAATGAAATTTAATACTTAAAATAAAAATATTAATAAAAAATAATATATATAAATATTATGAAAATAATAAGTATATATAAAAATTTTCAAAGGAAATAATTATAAATTAAATATATGAATATTTAATTTCTAATTAATAGAGACAATTTATAATTGATTTTAAAGTTTGACCTGTCCCTAGTGGAGTCATCAAGCTGTCGTAACCGATTTTCGCCCGGGCACGAATTTTTACTTGGCGGGAAAATTAAAATGAATAAATAAATAATTTTAATTTAAAATAAATATTTTGAGAGTCGCCATTGACCCTTTGGGTTATGTAGGTCAAATACCTAACAATAATCTTTTAAAATAGTTTTTAAGAAAACATAATTTAAAAGATAAATTGATCTGCGTATAACCAAAAAAAATTAGTAAAGAAGGGATTCGTGGTCGATTACGTTTAGGGAATGATTAACACCCCTATAACGCCCAAAATTGGTACTCATTAATTATAATTTGTCTCTATTATTGGAAATTAAAAATTCAAAAATATATTTAATTCATAATCCTGTTATTTCAAATTAATATAATTTTAAGAAAATATATTAATATATATATATATTTATTTATAAATAAAATATTGATTTATTTAGAAATATCAGAAAATGACTTATAGGTGCTTTAAGACAACCCATTTCTTAATATTAAAAAATAAATAAATATTAAAATTTAAACAAATATATATATATATATATATATTTATATGACTAATATGAAAATAATAATAAAAAAATAATTAAAGTAATCTTAAACATATCAAAAGTAATAATAAAATAATATTGCAAATAAATAACGATCAAAATCAAAGAAATTAAAATTACAGTATTAAAATGTAAAATAATTAAACTTAGTGCTTTAATTAAAAATATCACAAGATCTAGAGACCTATAGTGTAATTTAGCCATAAATATTAACAAGTGATTAAAACATAAATTAATAAAATTATAGGGTTAAATCATGACATTTAGCCTAAATATTTAAACATAGATATACGGTGACTAAATTATAAATAAAATTAAATTCAAATATTGAATTAAAATATATGAAAACTTATTATAGTGACTAAATTATAATAAAGAAAAAGTAAAATATATAATTAAAACGTATGAAAATTAATTTTAATGACCAAATTACATAGATACAAACATAGAGGGTATGCGCGTATGGTTTGACCATACGAGTAATTACACAGGGACCCCTCCCCAAAACGACCCAAAATCTGGCCCTCTTGGGTCATTTCCCTTTTTTTTCTTTTATGGCTTCTCTCTCTTAGAGTGAGAAGCTATCCATTCTCTCTTAAATCCTCTCATCGAGTTCCGGCCGGCCACCGTTTCTGACGTCGGCCATCATTGACGGTGGGCGAAAATTACCAAAAACACCTAAAACCTAGATCTGATCGTCTTAAGGTCGAATTCGGTCTCTATTTCCCTTAAAAAGTCTTGGAATTCCGTAGATCTAAATTTTTTACCTTCGAACTTTTGGTTCCACGGTGGCGGATGGATGCTACGGTGAGTCTCTTTTCCTCTATTTTTTTCGGCTTGTTGTTTGGTGGTTGTTTGCTCTCGATTTGGCTAGTATCTTCTTTCTCTCTGTTGCTTTTGGTTTGCTCTGTTCTTGGTTGTTGTCCTCTCTCGGCTCCCTCTGTTCTTTTTGTTTACAGGTAAGTTGAAGATTTATAGTCTCGGTGAGACTCTCGTTGGATCGAGTAAGGATGGTGTCCTTCGGTGAGTCACCAAACTATGTGGTGACTCACCATAACGTTGACGTGGGTGGCCATCTGGCCTTCTAGAGGTTTCGTCGGAGGCGTCGGCGTGGCAGCGAGCGTCGACAGCGGGGCGTTATACCACCTAGCAGTGGAGTGTCGGCAACGTGTAGACGTGGGGCGACTGGAATCTTTTCAACGGCGACGTGGCCCTAAGGTATCATAACCCTAGGGTTTCGTCTGGAAGGCTCTGGGCCGTTGGATCTTGCCAGATCCAACGACTGTTAATTGATGACGGCTGGAGAAGATGTTGTAACCCTAGGAGGGTGTCCTAGACCGGGTCAAGTGTCTGGACTGGGTTGTAATTGGGTCACTGTTGTAATTGGGCTCCAATTTTGGGTTTGTAATATGTAATAATTATATTTATTAATAATAATAAAAAATATAATAATAATTATAATAAAAATAAAACGGACCAAAAATTTAGTGTCTACAGCGATATATTTTTTCTTTGACTTCATTATGCAATATGGTCGAAACCCCCAGTTCAAAACTCTTTAAGCCTAAGCCTAATATATATTTTTAAGCTAAATTATTGCTTTGAGCAGTTTTTTTATATAAAAAAATGATGATTTTGAGATTATTCAAGTAATATATATATATATTAAGGATAACATCTTATTACAAAATGTATTTTTTTTAGTTTTATATAGATTTAAAATCGTTAAATGAATGAAAAATATATAATTAGAATTAACAGTAAGAAATAAGAAGATTTTCATTGGAAAAACAAATAATTTATCTTAATCATCTATTTTCATTCATCCAACGATCATCAATCTATATAAACTAAAAATATGTTATATTGTGTAAGTAGATCATCACTGTTTTTTGTATTATTAATATAAATTCAAAATATATAAATAATTTAAAGACAATTTTAACCTTTTAATAAATATTGGGCCGAACCTATTGGACTTGGAGACCAATATAGCTTAATTTTATTTCTATTCTGTATTGAGAAACGGTGCCGTTTCGAAAGATTTGAATTTTGATCTGCTTATATAAAACCGATGTCGTTTTATTCTAAAAAAACATCTGAAATACCTAGATCCCATAATTTTCATACTAACCGCTATTTTCAATATAACTCGCCTACATTGCTGCCGCCGCCGTCACCACCACTGTCAGTGGCTTAGGCCATCGCAATTTGTAATTGAGGGTGCGGTCCGTTCACTCCTTTATTTTATCTTTAGGATTGCTAATGCATTTTACACTTTTCTTTGGGCTCATTTCCAATGTGGATTCATATGAATACTGATTTGAAGGATCAAACATCGTTCCATTGCTTCTATGTTCTTTTATTTATGAATTGTCCTTTGAAAGGGTGATTCTTGAGTTTTTTTTTTTTACTTAAATTTTACTGTAACAGGGAACGAAGTTTGATTTTAGATGAGCTAAATTTGATTGTTTGTCTGCTTAGTCACTCTAATTTTCAACGAAATGTCACTAATCAATGCCACTGATCTTAAATGAATGAAAGATTGTTTTCTCTAAGCGGGTTTTGAAGCTTGTTTTATTTGATCTTCATGATCTTGCTTGAATTTACTTTCCAGAAATAGCATGAAGAAGCTTTGCTGAGCATTTGTTGTTAAACTGAGTTTGAATTGTTTCATGAAGCTTTGCACTAAACAACACTGTTCTGCAATGGAGGGGATGCCTTATGCTTCCTTTACGAGCTTTGCAACAAAATCGTTGTCGTTTGCTTCTCTGTCACCATCTCCAATCGTAACCCTCCGCCAAAAGAGTCAGAAAAATACTCTAAAATCAGTATCTCCTCGAAAGCTTGTTATCTGTGCTTCATCTGCTTCTAGTTCAGGTACTTTTATCGCAAATCTTGTTGGGTTTGATGAAAGATAAAAAATATAATAAACTTATTTTATTGTACTTCTAAAATTATTTTGGTGCTTTTTTAGGGTCAGTTGTGACGTTGCTTGATTATGGAGCTGGAAATGTTCGGAGCTTAAGGAATGCGATTCGCTACCTTGGGTTCGAGATAGAGGATGTAAGCAATTTTAGCTTTAAGAGTATGATGATAATTTGTATCATTCTAATTGCTTTACATAGAAGAATGCATAGTAAGTTATAACAGTATTCATTCTTTTGATTAAAATGTAGGTGCAAACTCCTAAAGACATTTTGAATGCAGAACGCCTTATCTTTCCGGGTGTCGGGGCATTTGCTTCGGCCATGGATGTACTTGTCAAGACAGGGTATGATTTTATACTGACTTTTTCTTTTAAAAATTCAACTAATTTATTTATCACCACTAAATAAAATTTAAATAAAAGTTCTAACGGTATGTGACTTTGTAATTGGCTGAAAATATTTCCCCTTACAGGCTTTTAACGATAAATGATACTCTCTTTTATTTGGCTTTCGGATTCTAACTTAGTTAATTTGTCTTTCATTTGCCATTTTCTTCAGGATGGATGAAGCATTACATACCTATATAAAAAATGACCGCCCATTTCTGGGCATTTGTCTTGGACTTCAACTACTTTTTGAGTACAGTGAAGAGAATGGACCAGGTCAATTTTCAAACAATCTTTTTTTTTGTAAATCTTCAATATCTATCTATTATTTGTGTGTGTGTTATATGATTATGACTTGGTAAAGTTTCTATGCCTGTAGACTCTGTCATGAGTAGAGGTGTCTGCTACTCATGACTATACTCCCCACTATATGATATGTTCTATCATGTGGTTTAATGAGAATCTTTCTTTGGTGTTTTAAATTTGTTTCTTATTTTATTTTTTTAATATATATTTATAGATAGCTTCAAGAAGAGATGAAGCATAGGAAGAAGGAATCAACAAGAGAAAAAGGAGATACTAATTAGTCACCATTTTGCAAATAGAGAAAATTTATATGTTTTCTTCCTTTTTATTTTCTAGTTCTTAACTTTCCAACTTGACTTCATTGTGTCTTTTTGCTTCAGTAAATGGTCTTGGCTTGATACCTGGTGTGGTTGGGCGGTTTAACTCTTCTAATGGTTTTAGAGTGCCGCATATTGGCTGGAATGCTTTGCAAATTGCAAAAGACTCTGAAATTCTGGAGGACGTTGGAGATCAACATGTCTACTTTGTTCACTCTTATCGTGCCATGCCAGTACGCTCTTCTTTGTCGACCTCTTAATTGATTCTCACTCTTGCACATAATGTGGATGTTGAAAAAGCTTTAAGCATACCTTGTGCTGTTTGGTAACCTATATAATCATATTTTTGGTAGTCAGATGATAACAAGGAATGGGTTTCATCTACATGCAACTATGGTGATGATTTTATTGCGTCTATTAGAAGGGGAAATGTGCATGGAGTTCAGTTCCATCCAGAGAAGAGTGGAGGCAAGATATTTTGTGTCCTTAGTTTTTATCTTTTGTTCTTGTATGTTTCAGATTTCAAAATACATAAGTTTCTTCCTGTTGGTATGGGAATGATTTCTGACATGCAAATATCAAGTGAACAATTTTTCCATATTAGATTCATCTTCTGGTTTTCTATCTTTGTGAAAAAAGAAACTATAAGAATCCTATTTAAGACATCATGTGTACATGTAGATCATCAAAAGTAGGATTTCTAATGTATTTGTCCTGGCTTTTGTAGTTGGTTCCTCCATATACTTTACAATATACTTGGTCCTTTTGATTATAGGACAATTTTCTTCGTAAAAACTTTTTCATCTTTTTTTCGGAACAAGTGTATGACGTAATAGCTAACTCGTTTATTGACAATAAGTTGATAAAATTGTTTCAGATGTTGGTCTTTCTATATTGAGAAGGTTCCTACAACCAAACTCACGAGGGACAAAGGTAGTCATTGTCCTTGGTTTTAATTTATCTAGTAATTTCTATTAACTCTTATTTTCATCCTTCTAACAATCTGAATGATTAACTTAAATATAGAATCCTACTCAAGGGAAGGCTTCAAAACTTGCTAAGAGGGTAGGTGTTTTCTGAAATTCGAATTATTTTGTATGTTATTCTTGATTTTATTTTCTATGCACCGACTTTTCTTCCCTTTTTAATTACATATCTCTTTACTATTGAAATGTTCTGCTTGATTTCATGGATCATATGTATCTATTCTGATTGCTTTATCTTCCATTCAGGTTATTGCTTGTCTTGATGTTAGGACAAACGATAAAGGGGATCTTGTTGTGACCAAAGGGGACCAGTATGATGTAAGAGAGCACACAAAAGAGAATGAGGTAACCCTGAGGTCATTCATTGCTCTAATCTCGTCATCTATTTGAATTTAAAGTTTAGATTGGTAGATACCTAATTCAGAATTGAAAAAATGGGATGTTCCCTTAGATATAACTGGATATAAGAGTTGAAAGAGTTGAATTATGTAGTAAAACTTGTTTTTTTTCTTGTTGATCTCCTATATTATTTTTAATCTAGAGAACATATGTGGATTCAGTGTTGTTTTAACTCGTAATAAACTTTTATAGGTGAGAAACCTTGGCAAGCCAGTAGAGCTTGCTGGACAGTATTACAAAGATGGGGCTGATGAGGTATACTTATAGCTTTGAAGCGTTCTATGTTTATAATGCAATATCGGCAATCATTTAGTCTCTCCAGAGTTTCTTTAATACCTTGAACATTTTCTTTCTTTTATGATCTAAATTTCAGGTCAGTTTTCTGAACATTACTGGCTTCCGTGACTTCCCATTAGGCGATTTACCAATGCTGCAGGTTTTGACCTTTAATTGTGAATATAATTTTACAGTGTTCTTAATTTTTTTCTTTAGAGTTTGTATGTTTGCAAATTTATATGAATATTTATATTAATTTCTGTGTATTGCAGGTATTAAGACATGCTTCAGAAAATGTTTTTGTTCCACTCACAGTTGGAGGTGGTATACGTGATTTTACAGATGCAAATGGCAGGTGTGCTTTGTTTTGTGCTGTGTTCTAGTGCTTTATTAGGCATTCTCTAATACTGCAGCTTTAAGTGTCCTTTGTGTAATTAACCAACACAATTTTCTATACAAATTTACTATATTTATTTTTCAGGTACTATTCTAGTGTGGAAGTTGCTTCAGAGTACTTTAGGTCTGGGGCTGATAAAATTTCCATTGGGAGTGATGCGGTTTATGCGGCAGAAGAATATTTAAAAAGCAAAGTTTGCAACTTCACCACATTAAAACTTGTAGCTTAGAGTTAAGATGTTACACATGCATAATAATAGCTACTACTAATAGTTCTGTAAATTCTTTTTTTAGGTAAAGACGGGAAAAAGCAGCTTAGAACAAATTTCTAGAGTTTACGGAAACCAGGTGATCCCTATGTTTTTGATGTGTTGATACCTGTACTGATATGTATCCATGTATATTTGTAATTTGTTAGTCTTCTTCACTAAAACATGCATACTTCGATTTTAGCTGATTGTGAAGTTTGCTTTTTCTTGCCCGACATTTCAATACAGTATACAGAAGTAGTTGCTTTTTGAGGAAAATAAATGTAAAGAACAAGAGCAACATGGAAATGGTCGATGGATGGATGGATGAGAAATTTAAATTAATATACATTTGATTGGGCCTGTATGATAAACATTTTCATATGTTGGTTTATATTTTAGTTTAGCGACATGTAAGTTAGAGAAAATGATTGAATGTTGATGAATTTAGTTGTAAGTGTTGATTCTCGTAGACTACCACCTTAGGCTTTGCTTGGTAGGGTGGAAAGAAAGTTGGAAGGATGCCAAATTAAAGGGGTAGAAAAGTAGAAAGATGGGGGGGGGGAAATTCTTTCCATTGGTGTGCTTGGTAGGGAAGATGGAAAAACTGAAAGAAAATGTAATTTTCTTTCCATTCAATGCTTGGTAGAGTTAAAAAATGGGAGGAAAGAAAATTAAGCTTTTGAAAAATACATATTTTGAACTAACATCTCTTTCATATTTTTGCTCTTGTTTTCCTTCCAAATTAGAGTGATTTATTTGTACACATGACAATGGAAAATGACCACCCTCACTTTTTTCTCCTACCAAGTGCACTCAAAATTTATTTTTTTTCCACTTTTCCACTCCCTCCTTCCATTTTCTCACTCAACCAAGCAAAGCCTTCAATTTTCAATGAATGAAATTGTAATGAATTAATTGAATGTTTACTTGACAGGCTGTAGTTGTAAGCATTGATCCTCGTCGAGTATACCTTAAAAGTCCTAATGATGTCGAATTCAAGGCTATAAGAGTCACAAAACCAGGTAAAGAAGATTGTACTGTTTTTTTTTTATTAAACATTCATATGAAATCTACATTGTGCCCTTGGAAAATCCTACGGTGTTAGTGGAAGATAAAGTTTCTAACGACGTGTTTCAAGAAAAAGTTTACAGTTTCTTTTATAAGGGTGGTTTCACTAAAACATGCCTTTCTGGTGTCAGGTCCAAATGGAGAAGAATATGCTTGGTATCAGTGTACGGTAGGCTTATTTGCTATCTGCCTTTTGCATGATAATTAAAGCATTCATCTAGATTAACTTTCGAGAACCACTAAAAATGCACACGTAAGACCTAGGACCTAAGCAATGAACAATCATTGCTCACGTAGGGTTTTCTTTCGAGAATATCTAAAGCAAATGTTTGGATATAAAGAGGGAGATGAGAATGCACGAAGCATATAGATTTTAGAGGGGGAAGGAAGAAAATGCATGAGATAGGCATTAAGGTTGGCACTTAACCATGAGTACAAAGAGTGCAGTGTCAGGAGAAAAGAAGAATAAGGAACTCAGGATGCACTGGAACAGTAGCATGTAAGCAACATTCAAACACATTGATATAGAAGGAAAACATGTGAGAAGAAAGATGTAGGCTATGATAAACTAACATTGTCTCCATTCTCCAATGAGTGGTGCTTTGCCTGGTTCCCAATCTTTGTGACGAAGGAGCTTTTATTTATTTTATAATATTTCATTATTTTTTTCTCAGTTTTATGTTATAATATTTATTGATTATCAGACATATGATAGACGTCTGAGGCTAGGGCTTGTAGGTATTCTTAGGTATCTTTATGGATTAGATCTAGGGTTATGATTAAACTTTGCTTGCAAGAAAGCTATACTATATAAGTTTTCAGGCTTTATAAATTATAACCAAGACAATGATCCTTATTATTTTCTTTGAATTAATAGAAAATTTAGAGGTTTTTCCATATTTTATTAGGCTATAATCAACCGGTTGTAGCTAATTTGGAACTTGCAAACCCTTAATGCCATTTTCGAAAACTAGCATGGGAAGGCCACTTTCACAAGAAAGAGACATTATTTTGCATTTTAACTATTGCAACGTGAACCATATCACGTTCTTGGGGCTTTGTTTAACAGCATAATGCATGTATAAATATTACTTATACATGGTTAAAAGATAATTTTATTGTTGCTTGTATTTCAGAAGTTTTACCGTATGCATATCTTTAATGGCTTTCTGTTCCTAAGGTTAATGGTGGACGTGAAGATCGACCGATTGGAGCTTATGAGCTCGCAAAAGCAGTTGAAGAACTGGGAGCTGGAGAAATACTATTGAACTGCATCGATTGTGATGGTATAAACAACTTTCCTGTCGCTCAAACAATCATCCCTTATAATTAATTGCTTCTGTATGACATTCCCATTTCAGATGACTGCTTTAAAAATTAAGTCGAGATTTTTTCGTTTTCTCTAACCGATGATTAAGTCAACATTCCCATTTCAGAATATTTGGTTTATTCCTTTCTTTTTTGCTTGTTTAATGCCTATTTGATGACTTTTTTCAGGTCAAGGAAAAGGGTTTGATATAGATTTAGTAAAGTTGATATCAGATGCTGTCAGCATCCCTGTAATTGCAAGCAGTGGTGCTGGTGCAGTTGAACACTTTTACGAGGTATTCACAAAATCAAACGCATCGGCTGCTCTTGCCGCCGGCATTTTCCATCGGAAGGAGGTAAGTATTCAATGCTTTTTAGAATTTCAGGCAAGGCTCCATTAAAACAAACTCTTATTACAGTTCTTCAATTGCTTGGGGTTTAGGTTCCAATTCAGTCTGTAAAAGGACACTTGTTGAAGGAAGGTATCGAAGTAAGGATCTAATCAAATCTGCAAACTTTTAAATCTCATCTGTTTTGGACGTTTTAATGCATTTTTGGGTTTGATTTGTACAACTAGGATGTTGAATTTAGTTTGATCTTCATTCTTGTATCGAAAAAATTGTCCGGATAGTAATCGATCTGTGTAAAATACCTATGTAGTTTCAATTACAAATAAAAAATCGTTTTTTTTTTTTAAATCTTGAATTATTCGAGTCGAGTTATTCAAACTTGAAATTCAATTTCGGTTATCAGGTTTAGATTTACCAATTCAAAAGAATCAAATTTTACTGTTTTACAATTTAATTATAGATTTTCGTATTTCTTTAATTCCTCCATTTTAAGTCCTAATCTATTGTAGTTTTAATTCCACTTTTTTAAAATTATTCTTATTTTTTTATTTAGTCCCTTAGCTTTGCATAATTTCCTTGTTTCTTCAATTAATCTTTCGTTTTAAATTTATTTCTTTTATCAAATTTAAATCACATGCTCCACTAATACTATAGAATATATAATATCAATTCCTTTTATTAACAAAAAATTATTCTTTATACAATTCAATGTTGTTTTATTCAATTTGGTTATTTGATTGATTTTTATTTTTGCAATTTTTGTCTTTCATCACTTCCTTTTATATATTTTTTTTGGTTGCCCTCGTGATTTTAAGGTTTTGCCTTGACTAATCCGAATCGACCCGCGTCGCACACTTGCCTTTGGTGGGTGAATTTTCTATTATGAATTTTCTGCATACACAAAGGTTCAAACTCGATATTAAGCGATATTAAGTTGCTTATCACTTTAACCAATCCTTGTTGGTAATAACTTTTATATCTTTACTTCACAAATCTTTCATATGTGAAAAAGAATATATCTTATATGATTAAGAGAATTTCATTTAAATTAAAATCATTATGTATCATAATATTATATAAGATTACAATTAAGTTTAAAGAGGAACTCAAACCACTCGATTTGGATTTTATAAATTCGATTCAATTAAAAAAATTAAATAAAATTTGAATCATAAAATAAGATTTGTTAACTAAATTAACTCAAAACTTTTTTCTCGACTTGATATAATTGGTTTAATCTTGGTTTGTGGTCAATTTGGTATTTGTTTCGAACCGAGATTGAACCGCGACAAAGAGCGCAAGACTTACTTTTAACTAGCCATTGAACATCCATGACATAGATGTTTGCAGTTGAAAAAACCTTACAAGAATCGCCATCTTTAAACTCTTCCAGGCAAATAACGCATTCAATTTGTTCTTCACTTTTGTACTGAACGATGGTCCTGAGCATAATTGACCTCGGAGTTACGTCTGGCTGCTACAACGATGGCGATCTTTGCATGCTATGATCAGCCATTAGATGACTCGGTATCCAGTTTTCGTTATCGCGGTTGATATCTTCGGCGATGCCCCCGCGAAAACTAGAAAGCACTAGTTCACGTATCTTAAAGTAAAACTCTACCATGAAACCTATGCATATGAAAATGAGATTGTACACTACAAGGGTAATAATCATAAGCAAGTGTGTACCCTCCCAATGTTGCAAACCCCACAAGCAGTTCCATGATCCGCATCATACCCTATGCTATACTTGGTAATGTCATGGTGAGCTAAAGATACTAAAAAAATAGAGTTTAAATCCCGGAAAAGAGTATATCAATGTCACTTAACCAGTAAGACAATGAAACCAGTAAATCAATGAAACTATCAATTAAAAGAAAATTGTGTATCTAAATAAATTTAAGTACAAATTCAATTATATATAACTTAAATAATAGGATTTTATACTCGTATATATTAGGGTTTTTAACTTTAACATACGATTTGATTTAAATTTTAATTAAATTTAATATGACTTTTAGTGACATTTTCCTTTCTGTCGCTATATAATGCAATTCAATTTTTACTTCCCTAATGTACAACAGGATTTCCTTTTTCTCACTCTTTCGCTTTCTAATTTGGAATAAAAGAACATTTTTTCCTAATTACATATAAAAAAAACGAGTTATGACTAATTGTAGAATATGTATCCAGAGTATACCTTTTCCTAGGGATATATCGAAAGTGGACGGATGGAAGTAATCGTTATTTTGATAATTTTAAATTAGTAAATATTTTAGATATTTTCTTTATATTTTTAATTGATAATTTATTTTTATCCCTTAAAATTTTATAGGTTCGTGACTATGACAGTAAAAAAAATGTTTGTATGATTTCTCTTTAGCGTAACTATGAAGTTGGGACATAGCTAACATTTATGTCATCTTCTTCCTCTTCTTTTTTCCTTTTTTAATTTTTAATTTTCTTTTCATGAATCTTACGCTCGAGGTATAGCTCGATGCTAATGCATAGTTTTGCTTTTAATTCCTTCATCTTTGTAGCCCTCACCAGCATAGATTTAAGTAACGTCGAGTACAAGAATAATAACCATTATATAACAATAATGATATTGTCTGAAATTATTATTGTGAAAATAATAGTGTAAAATAAAATCATACTAATAATAATGTTCATAACCATAATTTAACAGGTAGTGATCAATTACGATAATAACAAAGCGTTATTTTCATTATTTTTCTATTACGATAAAATTAAAAAGAAAATCAAATTCTTGAGCTGCTACTAAGTTCTGAAATGCACAACTTAAGAGATAAGAGAAGTGTCAATTAAGAGTTTTTAACCACGTGTTCTAAAAATCGTTAACTAAAGTGAATTAGTTTTTAAAATTAAGATAAATAACTTTAAATAATGCATAAAAGATATGTTCGTTGACAATTTAAATTTAGAGGTAAATTTTAATGAATACTTTTAGAACTTTGTTAATTTTACCATTGATAAAATAGCTTCACATATATAATTTACCATGCTTAGGTCATCCGAACCAACGTCCATGTCAACTATATGTGCCGTGCAAACGCATACCTCAGTTTTAGTATACATAACATTAGATACCAGTTCTATATACCGTTTAAAACATTTAATATGTAAAATGAATTCTCATAATCCATTTGGTGCCGGATTCTCATGTCGTAAATTCAAACCGACCAACGAAATTCTCACAGCTTCGATGGAGGCCTATACCATCCCCATGGTTCGTTGGAGACATACTGTGTAACTTGCTTCACACGCAAGAAATTGTCAAGGCCCCTGAAAAAAGAAAGGCCAGCAAAACCAATCAACTATTAGGAACAGCCCTGTTTCTTTATAATGAGGAAGAAAAAAAAGATTGTTTCTGTGATGCAAGGAGAGCGCCGGTGCAGAGATTTCATCGACTCACATATGCTTTTAACATTTATAAAAATCCAAAGGTAAGAGCGGTAATAATAATATGACACTGTTATACTATTATTTGGATTATCGGGACGAATACCATTCACCGAGGTCACGCCCGAAGCCACTGCGTTTGTTGCCTCCCCATGGGGCTTGACAGAAGCATGGCTGTGAGCAATTTATCCACACAATGCCAGCTTGGATATTCTGCAAAACAGGGGAGGAATAAGAGAATTCACTAATAAATTGTTTACTAAAATTTATATTCTTTCTACTTTTTTGCTCTCCTTTTTTTCGTTTTTCACTTCAAATAATAGCTGAAAATTTCATCTAAAGACCACAAGCAACCCTCACCTTGCTTATACGATCACATCTTTCCAGGTCATTTGATATCACGGCAGAAGCCAAACCATAACTGGACATTTTATAAATAAAAAAAATTATCATTCTTTAGACCAATCAAATAGCAATTTACTGTACTTCAACAAGAGAATTCGACAACTTACGGGGTGTCATTTGCCAGTTCAAGGGCTTCCTCTTCGGTACTAAATGTCTTGACACAAAGAACAGGTCCAAAAACTTCTTCTCTCCAGATTTGCATGGAAGTTGTCACGTCAGTTATTATAGTTGGTTCAAGAAAAAATCCCTTCTTTAAATGCTGCCATGTATTTCTCAAATATAAGAAGTGAAAACTTTTAGACAGAAGCAGAGCCAATAATGAGAAGCAGATAATACCTTGGGACGGACTCCACCACTCAAGATGGTAGCACCTTCACTCTTAGCGATCGAGATGAATTTCAATATTTTCTCATACTGCAGTATATGAATTAAAGTTTGAGCAACTAAAGATAGTAAAACTATAGGTATTACCATGTCTAACAATCCACACTTTTAGGTAACATCGTCTGACAAATCAACCGAATTTACAAATGATACATATTGCTCAAACAGAACCCTTACCTGTCCTGCACTAACAACGGGGCCAAGCCTGCATCCTTCTTCGAAGGGATCAGAAATCTTAATGTTTTTAACCCATTTCACAAGCCTGTCCAGAAACTCTTTTGCAATGTTTTCCTGAGACAGTTGAACATGCATTTTCACAATGAGAAGAGGGAACCAAGAAGAAAATAGGAAGGGCATTTAAAATAATCTAGCTTTATCTATTGTAGAACATGAAAGAATAATATTTACAACTCTTTCTCACTACACCAGAAATGAGAAATCATGTCTTACTAAAAGAAATACAAAGAGACCAGAAATAAATTTCAGCACGAGATTGCAATAGATATGATGTTTTAGACCACAGCACCAAATTTATAGCAGCGCAGATGGGAAATAAAGTGGTATGTTAACATGGCAAACTGTCTGCAAAAGCAAATAAATCATTATACGAGTAGGGAGGCGAAAGGTACATAATCTTGTGATTACAGCTCTTACTATTCGTTCTGATTTAATAGCTTATCAGATGAACACTAGAAGGATAACATTTCTGGCTGAAACGCTGCCATTTGCTTTCTATTTGCCAATTACATTCCTGAAATAGTCTGCTGCTGACCACACATTAGGCTTTTGACATTTTACATTGGGATCCATGGGAAGTTGATTGGCATGGTTATCCAATTTGCAGAAGAAAATACCCTACGGAGCCAATCTAGGCTGCATGGTATTGTTACATCCGTGTTCTTGGTATTGATAGTTCAGCTCATCAAAGAAAACGGGAACATCTCAGCCCGGCTAAGGAAGATTGAAACCCCTAAGAGAGAGACCCAAATCTCTTAGATTACTGACAACAGTTCTGCTTATCTTTCATTAGATCCCTTTAGATAGAGATTACAATAATTAAATATGTATACACTAAATAAATTCCTACAAGAACACAACTTATATTCTAGGAGTAAACAATTAACTTCCACCAAGAATAATAAAACAACTTCTTTTATTAAGGTGCTAACAAACTTCACCTAAGAAAAGTAAAACAATTTCATTTATTATAATTATTAAGAGTCATACGTCCATAACAGGCATATAATACATAAAAGTAAATAAGGAATTATGAACAGATGAAATGCATAAAGAAAGCGCAAACAATATCATCAATAAACTTACATGTAAAATAAGACGGGATGTTGCACTGCAGATCTGTCCATTTGTCCAGAAGCAACCAAATGCAGTCCATTCAGCAGCTATTGAAATCACCAATAATTTTATTAAACAACTTTGTAAACATGGAGTCAGGAAAAACAATATCAACGTGCAGTATAGCTTTCTAATATGATAGGTTTCAGAAACCTTGTATTTCTCGACCATTTGTTTCTCAAAGCAAGTCCAACCGTATGGAAACATATGCTTAAATTGTAATTCAGATGATACTAACCTTTGTCGAGGTCAACATCCTCAAACACAATGATTGGGCTTTTCCCACCAAGCTCTAAAGAAACAGGCTGCCAAAGAAAGCACATAAGTAATTTAGTGCACAGACCATCAAGGAAAAACTTTTTTTTGTTTCCAGAACTTAAATATACCTTCACTATTTGAGCAGCTGCGGTCATTATCTTGCTCCCTGTTGCATTGCTTCCAGTGAAGGCAATCTGTTTAAACTAATCATTAGAATTTGTGCCACTGTTGATATTTATCGAATAATAGTCAATAACTGAAATCAGCAAGTCATAGAAGAGCTTCAATGGATGATGACAATCTAACCTTGTCAACGTTGGGATGAGATGCCAAAGGAGCGCCAGCTTCATGGCCCAGTCCAGTCAGAATGTTCAGGATACCGGGAGGAAGACCAATCTCCATACACACTTCAGCCAGCTCCAAACAGGTGCTGGAAGAGAAAAGAATGCAAACGTAATAAGCAGCATCGTTGGTTCCAAATGCAAAATATAAACCAATATTCTCAAATTGTCATAAAAACTGACAAAATATGGCAACTAAGTTGAGAACATACACAGATGCCAACTCTGAAGGCTTCAGTATTGCAGCACAACCTGCAGCCAAGGCAGGAGCTACTTTCCATACAGCCATCAATAGTGGGTAATTCCTTCAAAACAGCAGAAAAACAGCAATATGGAATAAGGAATTATTGTCTTCAAGTCACCACCAATGTATGAGTACAACCAATTATGAAGCCTTATAACATCAAATGTGCTGATCAAACCTATAAATGTATCTAATTTAACTTGCAACTAGGACAACAATTATGCAATTACCTCAAAAGGTAAAATTAATACAGAGGCATAATATCATGCAATGCTCGTGCATATTTACGACACACCAAAGAAAAAGAATAGTGCAATGCGCACGGATTAGCTTTGTAAGACCTTTACTTTTATTGGTGTAACTGGGCAGAGAAGTATGATAATATTTTGAAATAGTTATACACCAATTGCACAAAGCACAACAAATTAAGGAGATAGTACCAAGGAGTAATCAATCCAACAACCCCAATTGGTTCCTTAAGCACATGACTCTTAAATGTCTCCAAAGGAAGAGAGACGGGAGCCTTTTGCTTTAAATCTAACCCTTCAGCAAGGTCTGCATAGTACTCAAAACATCCAGCAACATCCTCCTGAATGAAATGAAAAAAACAAGTAAGAAAATACCCTAAACAATGAATCACAAAACCTTCATCAGCGTGACAAGCATACCATGTCCCAAACTGCTTCATCAAGTGGTTTCCCACAATCAATTGCTTCGAGCTTAGCAAATTCAGTTTTTCTCTCTGTAATCTGCACCACTCAAATAAACTCAACACATCAAATCAAGCAATACAACCAATTCAAAGATAAACATGTTCTTCAGTTCATGCAGAAATGCTAGAAAACCTAGTTAGAAGAAAACAATCAGAAAGGCTTATAATGAAGTACATAATTTTACTTCATCTGCAAACGCCACCATCATCACTTTACTTAAAATCTCAAAATGAATGAAGTTATAGCAGACAAATCGTACACGACTAAATAAGTTCACAGCGTGTTTTAACTTTTAACCTTAGCAGCGATGGCGCGTAAATACTTGGCACGGACAGCGCCAGAAGCTGAAGCCCAATCCTTGCCTTTGTTTCTAGAAAGGGCTCTCCGAGCAGAGGCAACCGCGATCTCCACGTCTTCAGATGTAGCTGCCGGAATATCACCTGAAAAAAAACCATGGAATAACCTCAATAAAAAACTAATCAAGAAAACAAAAAAGATGGATGGAACAAAAGGAAAAGGAATTGACCGATGATCTGTTCAGTGGCGGGGTTGATGATCGGGATACGCTTCTTGAGAACAGGCTCTCTCCACTGGCCATCGACGAATAACTGTCTCCTCGGAACTTGGACCGCCATGTTTAACGCAGTTTAAATTCTGGTTTAGTTTCACTGTCGATCTCCGACTTAACAAGCGGTGTGGATTAGGAAGCTTTCTGGTTGATACTGTGGAGTCGGTGAAAATAATCAATGTCTTCTCTTCCACGTGCTTATTGTCTTTGGAATTGGGAGGGTATATAATAATAATAAGGCTAAACTACAAAAATGATCACTAATATTTAAATAAATTTTTATTTTCATTTTCTCTATTGAAATTTCAAAAGTAATGAAACTGTAATCGGTCACTTGACCGTTAAGAGTGTTATCTCCGTAACAGAAGAAGAAGAAGATGATGAATCAGCTTTACCCAAACATGCCAAATCAGCTTTTTGTTACAGAGGTAACGGTACTCAACGGCCAAACAATCAATTTATTACAAAAGATAACGTTAGTGATTATTTTATTACTTTTAAAATTACAGTCAAAAAATAAAAATTTACTCAAAACATTAATGATCATTTGTATAATTTATCCTAATAATAATTAAATATATACTTTTATTAGTTACTCCTATTAAGTTAACTTTTCTTTGTTAAGTATTATTCGCATATAATTTGATTGATTTTATTTAATTAACTAAATTATTTGATTGAAAGATTGATAATAATCATATTATTATCTTTATATAATAAATCGGTCACGTATAAATAGTGTTGAGCAACGAAACCAAAAGAAATAAGAAATCAATTCGAATCGAACTACGCTATTTAATTTAATTTAGAATTTTTATTTTGTAGTTCAGTTTAGACATACTTTCCTTTTGAATTTTCAATCTAGACATACAATTTCATAATTTGGTTCAATTTCGATATTTTCTTATAAAATTCGATTACTCCAAATCAAATCAACTTTAAAAAAAATAATAATCTAAATCAATTTCATTTAAAATTTGTTATAAGATAAAACTTAAATCAATAAATTCATAAAAATAATATAATATTACTATTGTGAATTTAAATTTGGATATTTGTCCGCGATTTAAATTTGAAGTTTACATTTTACTTTTAAACTGAGTTTGAAAAAATAATGAACAATTAAAAAAATTAAAATTATATTGAACTAAACCAAATTTAATCATTTTATTTTCTATAAAAACTATATAATATAAATTAATTAATTTTTATTAAAAATCAAACTGAAACCAAATACACTCTTAACTTTTACCCAAATTTTGGTGCTTGTCTGGTTCTCATGATTTATTTTGACTAATTCGATTCATATCATACACTTAATTTTAATAAATAAATCTTATAACAAATTTTCTGCATAAAAACAAATTATTTACCGCAGTAGCTAACCGTGGATAAAATTCCTTTTTTTTCTTTCTTAAATGCTTCTAAAACCCTCACTTGAGATATTACCAACGCCAGAGCAGATCAACTGGTTTATGGTTTTGGCTTCCATTGGGGAGATTACCAACGTGAGAGAAGACTATACGGTACGCTTTTCTACATCTTGCTAAACCCTGGTTTCCCCCCATCAATTTCGATGCTTCATACTTTCAATCGTAAATTTTGCCATAGAAATCTCTACTTCATTCTCAAACAAAACCCCCACTTCAGCACTAGCTCTTCAACAAGCCCGAATTCCAGCAGAAATGCACTCAATAAATGTTCCAGTAGCTTCAGTTTATTTGACTCTTCAATGGGTATCAATCAAATTTCCTTCCCTTTTAATGTTTCTAAAACCCCCAATTTGATTAGAAACCCAAGTTTTATCAGAAGCTACTGTTCTCGTGAGTGGACTGGGGATATAGATTACTTGGATGAATCGGGCAGTGTTATATACTCTGGTAAAGGTATTCGGTCAGTCGAGCCGGGGCTTGATGATCATGTTATGGTGGGTGGGTTAAAGAAGCCAATTTTGAATACCTCAGCTGTTGCTAAGATTGTTGAGGTTGTTAAGAGGTGGAAATGGGGACCAGAACTGGAGACCCAATTGGATAAACTACAGTTCATGCCTAGTATGATTCAAATAACTCAAGCCATGAAGGTTGTCAAAGAAATCGATGCATCATTGAGTTTATTTAGATGGGCAAAGCGACAGTCTTGGTACGTCCCGAGTGATGAGTGTTATGACATATTGTTTGATGGGTTCAATCAAAGTAGAGACTTTGGTGCGATTCAGTCATTGTTTGAGGAACTGGTTCAAGAGTCTAGTGGTAATGGGGTTTCTTTATTTAGTGCCTGCAATCGTGTGATTCAGTTTTTGGCTAAAGCTGAGAAATTGGAGATGTCATTTTGTTGTTTCAAGAAGGCTCAGGATTTGGGTTGTAAGATCAACACTCAAACGTACAATGATCTTATGATGTTATTTTTGAATAAAAGTTTGCCGTACAAGGCGTTTGAGATATACGAGAGCATGCAAGCGGCAGGGTGTTTGTTGGATGGATCGACATATGAGTTGATGATACCTAACTTGGCGAAATCAGGTCGGCTTGATGCAGCTTTTAAGCTATTTCAAGAGATGAAAGAACGGAAGTTTAATCCAGGCTTTAGTATCTTTGCATCTCTTGTTGATTCGATGGGGAAAGCTGGGAGACTGGACACATCAATGAAAATCTACATGGAAATGCTGGGTTCTGGGCATCGACCATCTGCTACTATGTTTGTTTCTTTGATCGACTCCTATGCAAAGGCTGGGAAGCTTGATACTGCCCTTCAGCTTTGGGAGGGGATGAAGAAGGCTGGTTTTAGGCCGAATTTTGGCCTATACACGATGATCATTGAGTCTCATGCGAAATCAGGAAAACTTGAGACTGCAACATCTATTTTTAAAGAAATGGAGAAAGCTGGATTTCTACCCACTCCATCTACGTACTCGTGTCTCTTAGAAATGCATGCAGCATCTGGACAGGTTGATTCTGCAATGAAGCTTTATAACTCAATGATAAATGCAGGTTTGCGGCCTGGATTGAGCACATATACGGCTCTTTTAACGCTCTTAGCTAATAAGAAACTTGTGGATGTTGCAGCAAAAATCTTACTTGAAATGAAGTCTATGGGATACTCTATTGATGTCAGTGCTAGTGATGTTCTAATGGTTTATGTTAAAGATGGTTCCGTTGATCTTGCCTTGAGATGGTTAAGTTTCATGGATTCATCTGAGATTAGAACGAATAATTTCATAGTAAGGCAGTTGTTCGAGTCATGCATGAAGAATGGTTTATATGAGTCAGCAAAGCCTCTCCTTGAAAATTATGTGAACTCTGCTGCGAAGGTGGATCTGGTTCTCTACACATCGATTCTTGCCTATTTGGTACGATGCCAAGAAGAACACGATGAGAGACATTTGATGACAATCCTTGGTTCTACAAAGCACAAAGCTCATGCTTTTTTGTGTGGACTCTTTACTGGCCCGGAACAGAGAAAACAGCCGGTTTTACCATTTGTGAGGGAATTTTTTCAAGGTATCGATTACGAGTTGGAAGAAGGGGCAGCTAGGTACTTTGTCAATGTTCTCCTCAATTATCTTGTTCTCATGGGGCAGATTAACAGAGCTCGTTGTGTTTGGAAAGTTGCCTACGAGAATAAGCTTTTCCCGAAGGCAATAGTTTTTGATCAGCATATCGCTTGGTCTCTTGACATTAGAAACTTGTCGGTGGGAGCTGCTCTTATAGCTGTTGTACACACCCTCCACAGATTTAGGAAGCGAATGTTGTACTACGGAGTGATCCCTAGGCGCATCAAATTGGTTACAGGACCCACTTTGAAGATCGTGGTTGCACAGATGCTGAGCTCCGTAGAGTCCCCGTTTGAAGTCAGTAAGGTCGTTTTAAGGGCCACTGGAGACTCTGTTATGGAGTGGTTCAAAAAACCGATGGTGCAGCAGTTCCTTTTGAATGAGATACCATCGAGAGCCGACATCCTCATGCACAAGCTGAATATACTGTTTCCAAGTTCTGCACCTGAAATCAGGTCACTGGCGCCACCTAAACCACTCATTGCAAGGAAGCGAATCTAGCCTTGTGTACTGATAGTTTATACAAGATGTTTTGTTTCAATGATAACACCCTTTAATTTTCTTATGAATCCAATTCCTTTTCTTTAACTTTCTGTCAAAATCTGAAGTCTCAAAATATGATGAGATTTATGGTATTACACAAGGAAAATTTAAAAATGGTGCCGATCCATTCGCCGAGCATGATCGTTCTGGTCACCATTGTGATCTCATTCGCAAACCATCAGCTGTTCCAGTTTTGTGGGCTGAAGGTGAATCAGGTTGCCCTGTTTGCAACTCCTGATATGGGATTCTTTTGCCCTGCTTGCAACAGGCTCTAATACAGCCAACCATGATGAGACCTGTTAGAAACAGTATGTATGCTCCATTGAGGGGGCTTATATCTGTCCACCAGCTCCTTCCACCAGATGCTGATGATTTTATGTAAATTTCACATCCAAAATGTCCAGAATCTAATTTTATAGATGATTTTCCACCGAGATTTGATGAGATGTTAACCTAAAGCAGACAAAAAAGACGGCAGAACTATGATTGAAACAAAGATTCAAACCATAAACCATTTGAACTTTGAAATATAACCTTTCTGGATTGGTGTGCTGGTACTGGAAGTTATGTTTAGCATGTGAAACGGTGACATTCACTCTCAGGGCGCTCTCACCTTTGTTCTTCACATATAGTAATAATTGCTTTGAAGCTGTATAGTAAGAAATGGGGAAATTTCTCAGTTTGGAGAATCAATACCGTTGGCAAATACAAGGGTGATGATTGATTTCTTATGTGATTGCTTTGTGAAAAAAAATTGACTTCTCTTCACAATTAATGAGGTTCTTACATGCTGTTAAACTTTTAGTTTTTTTAAAAATATATTATTTTAATTTATTTTATTTTTTTAACATTTTTATACTTATTTTTTAATTTTTCTAAAATTCTTCCTTATGATATAAAAGCACTTTTATATAATGTTTTAAAATGTTTCATGACAGACCTTATACACTTATTTTTTTTTAAAAAAAAAATAATTTTTCTCCTAAGTTGTATTGAACTCACAATCTAAAGGAGACGTGAGTAGTCAATTAAGAACTAAAAATTATCTGATCTAGAAATTGTTGACTACACAGTTAGTGACGTTGAATTTATGTAATTGGTAATAATTTTATTTTATCCTTAAAAGGAAAAGAATGATAAATTTTCAATATCGAATCGGAAATCTAATGTTATGTCATTATATCATAATAATATTATAAAATAAATATATATTTATTTAAACGGATTTGCTTATCTTTTAAATTCATATGCTTAAATCAAAATCAAAACTTATGTATATAATTGAATAAGAATAAATTTATATATAACTTTTTGGGCAAAAATAGTATTTTGATAAAAATTAAATATATAATAACATTAAATTAAACTTTACATACCATATTATACATTATTAAAACTAATGCATAAATACGAAATTTGTCTATTTTTTACCTAAACTCAATAACTCATGCTTAAATAGAAGGTTGATTTATTAAGTAAAAGTGTACGGCTTATATTAATATAAAATTATATGTGATTATACGAGTCAAACGATCTTAGTAACTAAGAGATTTATTAGTATTTTATGAAGTCTCAGCTTCAAGTATAACATATGCTAGGAGTATAAGTGCATTTATTGTCAAATTGTTTAGTCTTTTGATACAAAACGACAATAACAAGATAATAACAAAAAAAATAAATGTTAAAAACTAGGCAAAGAACACAAATGGTCCCCTCACTATAGGATATTATTTTGTTGAATCTTTCGACTATTAAAAGTTATAAAATGGTCCCCCAACTATAGGAAGTTACTTTGTTGAGTTCCTCGACTACTAAAAGTTATAAAATGATCACCTAACTATTCATTATGTTCTAAACTCATTCTTTTCCGTTAAAAAATTAATGACAATCTGAGCTGGACGTTAACCTGCTAATTGAGATTTGACAAAATTCATGATCTCAAACGACTATCATATCTCAATCAGCATGTTAACGTCCAACTCAAACTACTGTTAATTTTTTTATACGAAAAAGGACGAGTTTGGAACATAATGAATAGTCAGGTGACAATTTTCTAACTTTTGATAGTCGAGGGACTCAACAAAATTACTATCTGTAATTAAGGGACCATTTTATGATTTTTAATAGTTGGGGGACTCAACAAAACATATATCCTATGGTTAGAGGACTATTTGAGTACTTCACCCTTAAAAATTTTGAACTTGTCTATTGAATAAGAATTAACGCACGCTGTCAAGCTTTGGTTATGACATCTCATGGACGGAAACCAACATTCCTCGTTAATAGGCGGAGCCGCCGGTGAAGGCGACGGAGACGGTGAAGTCTAAAGAGTATAAAAAAACGAATATTATTGTTAGAGCTAAAAGAAGAAATGAAAAGCAAAAGCACATATTACCAGCAGCGATGCAAAATGTAGATTCCGAGCGTGAGATTCATGAAAACAAAAGAAACAAAAGGAAGATAGAAACATTCATATTTGAATCCATTTTCTTTTCCTTCGACCTTTTCCTAACCCTAAAACACTCACCATTGGTATTAATAGTAACAAGAATAATATTAAGTCTCCAATTACAAGAGTTTTCATTTTGTTGTTTGACTTCTTCGTTGAAATCTCTAGCGGCTGAATTTCCATGTTGACTGTAGTGTTTGTCCATCATTAGATTCATTTTCTATCTAGGGCAGAATATTAATATCCACAATCAATTGATTTAACAGAATGAAATGTTAGGTTCTTTAAACATGATTAAATACTTGAATCTTAATATTGTGAATGAATTGAGAATGTTGTCCTTATAATAAGTATTTGTCGCACTTAATCCGGATTGGTTGACTAATTAATCATAGTTTATGGATAAAATTTGAAGATTCAAAAGTATATGAATCAATTTAGAACGATGGTCATAGTTTAAGGATAAAATTGGAGTACAAAAAAATTTGAGGACTAATTTAGAAAGAAATTCATAATTTCGGATAAAATTAAAATATTCAAAAGTTTTAGGTCCAATTTAAAAGGAGAATTACAATTTGATGATGTGTGATACAATTAACTCATAAAATAATGAATACAAATTATCCAAATTTGTCACTATATAATAAATTACTTTTATATATTTTATTATTTTAGAAAATAAATTTAGAATTATTATCTAATTTATATGGAATATAACAACCATTCTTCTAACTACTAAGATCGTTTAGTTTGTGCTCATTCATCCTTTTCTAAAATTTTATAAATTAACGTCCCTTAAAACAAAATATGCTCCATCAATCATAAGCATAAATACTGCAAAAAGAGAAAGTAGGTGTATTTTGTGTCTGTCATTTACAGATTCATAGATTCCATTGAAGAAGATAACCTGTTTATTATGTACATTTAAATATCCCATTTGTAAGAGAAAAATGGAGATTAGAGCCCCATGTGCTTAGTTGATTATGATCTGTTTTCCATTTCTTGTGTATTTTGTTTATTAAAGCATGGAACTTTCCCTATGCCACCACCACAACTCATTTGCTTTGTAATCCATGCACATGCACATGGCTATGGCTATTTTATAAATCCCATGCCCATATCTTTGAAAATCTTTAAAACCCAACTTTTGTCAGCTTTCCCTTTGTGCTTTTGCATTATCATATACAGCACTAAAAGTGGGCGCCAATGGCTCTCTTTGCTACTCTTTAGGCTCTTTAGCTCACTTTTGACTTGTAAAATTTTGCCATCATTGATGAACACATGCCTTTGGAATAGCAAAAGATTAATCTCTTTTATCATCTAAATTAAAACTCACAAACATTATCATAACAAATGAATATAGGAAGTTTTCCTTTGAGTAAAAAAAACACATTAATCAGTATGATACAAAGCAAAGGAAACGATGGCAATGAACAAAAGATTGCAGATCAGCAAACTTGGTAACAATATTGAAAGGGGCCTCGGAAATGGAACCCGGTGAAAAGGAATCCGGCAAGCCTAACTATAACATAGAGAAGAAATCACAAAAGGAAAGCTGGTAAAAATCCAAAAGGTAAAGGAACAATACAAGAGTGCAGAAGAACAAACAAGTATTTCTTCTCTTCGATCAGATGAACAAACTGGATTCTTCTTTGCCGGATACGGTAGAAATCGAAGGGTGAAGTGTCCGCTTGTTTTTGTAACGGCATTGGTAATAGGTGAGACTAATATAGGGAAAACAATAGTATTAGGTCCTGATCCGGAAAAAAGTTAAAGGAGTGAAGTGGAAAAAGTGGTATACTTTAGGGACTAATTCATGCATCCATTAAGTTAAAACTCATCCCATATCCTCTTGGCCTTCTGAGTGGCATCTGATCAATTCCAATATGTTAACTACTTCTCCCATATCCGGCCGATTGGATGGTATTTGTGATGTGCAGATTAAACCGAGTTTCATCATCGGAATTGCCTCTTCAGCCGGGAATTTTCCTTGCAGCCTTTTGTCGACACATTCTTCCACCCTACCTTCTTCCAATGCTCCTCGGACCATGTCACAAAGCACCACCACGTCGTCTTCCATGTACTCAACAGGCCTCTTCCCGGTAACCACTTCCAAAACCAAAACACCGAATCCATACACATCACATTTCTCATTTATTTTCACCGTACGGCAGGCAAACTCTGGGGCCATGTAGCCAAGTGCACTCTGAATCTTACTGCTTAAAACATAGCGGTCTAGCATGGGCAACAACCTTGCTAAGCCAAAATCTCCCAGTTTAGGTTCACCCGAGCCATCGATAAGGACATTGCTCGACTTTATATTGTAATGAATAACGTTTGTTTGGTGCAAGTGAGCCAAGCTTTTCGCTGTCCCTAAAATGATACTGAACCTGTCGTTCCACGAAAGATAATTTCCACCTGATCCTTCATGAAGATGTTTGTAAAGACTTCCACCGGATACGAATTCGTAAATAAGAAGCTGCAGTGATGGTGTCCAGTAATAGCCTTCAAGAGCAACAAGATTAGGGTGCCTTATTTTCCCAAGTTTTTGAACTTCCCTTTCGAATTCATCTCGAGACTTGACGAGACTTGATACCGTGAGTTTCTTGATTGCCACAGAGCGCCCATCTTGCAAAACTGTTTTATACACTGCTCCAAACCCCCCACGCCCGAGTTCACAGTCCTTGGTGAAAAGTGCATGTGCTTCTGTACTGAAGTCGGGCTCCCCGGAAAACATGACAAGTTTGCCAGAATTGGCATCTGTAGTAGGGGAACCGCTATACTCATCCCCGGCAGACAAAGCAAGGGCTACAGCATGCCGGGATGTTGATAACCTGACACGGAGATTAAGAACAGTGATGGCAATGACTCCAACAACGATGACAGAAGCTGCACCAATAGCAATGAGAGCAGAGATACTGAGAATTATCCTCTTATGACCGACACTTGTAGGCAACACCCCAGAAATGGAATCAGACGAGGAGTTGGGATTTAGCACAATGGGTTTAGGAAGAACTGCAGGGCAAGATTTGTTAACTGCAGCACCACAAAGTGATGGATTCCCAGAGACGGCAGTGGGCGATATAGTGTTGAAAAATCCACCAGTAGGCAGCTCTCCCTGTAAATTGTTGTGGGAAACATTGAAGGACAACAGGTGGGGCAGATTGGCCAACTGCTTGGGTAAGGTGCCTGCAAGTTTGTTGAAAGACAGGTCCACGTTTTGTAGGCTGTTCAGTTTTCCGATTTCAGCTGGTATCGGGCCACTCAGGTTGTTTTGTGATAAGATCCTACACCAACAACAACAAACAGAAATGAAAAGGAAGTTAGAACAACATACAGCATCAGTTTTCATTATAGCAAGGACATGAAATTCGAACATTCTCCTTTAATCTACGTTCTCAAGTATGAACAGTCTAGAATGACGAAAAGAAGCTCACAATCAAGAAATGTATAGGCAAATTAAGGTGATTTAGGTCAATGAAGCAAAACCCAGAACTCATACAGCCTTTGAGCAGATACAACAAAGTTCACCTACCAAAACTAATATTAGCCTTTAAGGTAAAATTGATGTTTATATGTCATTATAGCAGGAATGGTTTGATTATAATAACATGGTCTGAACATTAGATAAACCAGAAACCATACACTCAAGAACAGGAGAAACTTACAAAGTTGTTAGCAAAAGTGCAGTTCCAATTGATGTAGGAATTTTTCCACCTAGGAAATTCGCATTGAGCCTCAGTTCCTTCAAGGAGAAAGCTCCTCCTACTTCCATAGGAATACTTCCATTAAGCTGATTATGACTCAAATCAAGAACATCCAAAGCTTTCAATTCTCCAACAGTTCCCGGAATAGTCCCGATGAGGGAGTTCCTCGACAGATTCAAGAACTGCAAGCTGCTTAAAGCCCCAATATCATCTGTTATCTCTCCTGAAAACGAATTGTGAGATAAATCCAAGACTTGAATCTTTTGAAGGGAGGTTCCTGGTGAAGCTAAAATGGGACTACATGACTTTGCACCAAGCTTATTCTCCGAAAGTGATACTTTACTCAAAACGGTCTTGAAAATCCATCCAGGAAGACCGCCACTCATCGAATTCCGGCTAAAATCCAAGGCCAGAAGATTCACATTGCTTCCCATAGATGCAGGAAAGCTTCCAGTTAAACCATTAGAAGAAAAATTTAACACCTTCAACAACTTAAGGTGTCCGATCGACTCCGGAACCTGACCTGAAAAATTATTCACAGAGAAATCCAAAGTCTCAAGACTTTTCAATTCTCCTATCCATCCAGGAACCTCACCAGCAAACGAATTCATACTCAAATTCAGATAACTACACAGGCTAAGCTTTTGTATTGTGTGTGGAACTGACCCAGAAAGTAAATTCATGCTAAGATCAATTGATCTCAACAATAAACAACTCCCGATCCCATCAGGAACCTGCCCAGTGAACCTATTTTTACTCAAATTAATGAATCTCAAATTGTTCAAAGCTTCAATCCCTTGTGGAATCTCACCTTCCAACAAGTTGCCAGACAAATCCAATGACCTTAAACCACTCAAACCCCAAATCCCACCAGGCAAAGTCCCTGAAAACTGGTTCCAGGACAAGTTAACAACAGCAAGTGTAGCACAAGATCCTAAACTAGCAGGAATCTTACCCGATAACCGATTACTAGCCAACGAAATGAACCTCAAAGACCCACATTGCTTGAAAAAATCATCAGGGATAAAACCAGAAAGAGAATTCTCACTCAAGTCAAGGATTCTCAAACTTTCAAGCTTTGCCAAGCTGGGGCTGATACTTCCGCTGAGATTGTTCCTCGCTAAAGAAAGCTTTCTCAAGAACTTGAGTTGCAAAAGGCCACGTCCGATCCGACCCGAAAGAGAGAACTCGTCGAGGTTGAGCTCGGTAACACGGTTCGACCTTGGGTTACATTTCACACCAATCCAGTTACAGGGAGTGTCATCGTCTTCGTTCCAAGACGAAAGCTTTTGGCTTGGGTCTTGAACGTCTGCTCTGAAAACTATTAGTCCCAGAACATCGTCGTTCAAGGAAGGGCTTAAAGATCTAACCGGGAAAAAAGTAACAAGTAAAAGAACCAGCCAAAATAATAGTAAAGTTGACAGATTTTTCGTTTTCATCTTGTCCTTCTTATTCCTTTCTCAATAGTTCAAAAACTCCATTCTTACTTATCAGAGTTGCAGAGAAAGAAAAAGGAAAGGAGAATCCAAAATGTTGCTTCTTTAGGCAAAGCAAACAAAAACGACTCAGTAGTAGAAATACAGAAGTGGTGACAAAATGTTGGGTTTCTTTCAAAAATTCAACATTTTAAGGAAAACCCACGTCTCAGAGGTCCACCAGCGGTAGTATTCCGGTAGAGAGTCGCCGGAGAAAGAAGGAAACAGGGAAAGGTCCGGGCTTTGTTCTCTATTTTGGTGAGAGAGAGAGAGATGAGGGAAAGGAATCGGTTGGGTTGTAATTAATGTAAAGGAAAGGTTTTTAGTGTGTTTTTTTTCAGTTGATGAAAATTAACGGGAAAGGGAAGGTGGTGGGCCCCGATACTCGGTGGGGCAATTTAATGTGGATGGGTACACGTGGAAAGTGTTGAGAGGAGGATGGAAATCCTACGTGGCGACACGTAGTCGTTGTCACTGGTTAGTGCATGCTTTGCTTTTGAGGTGGTGCATGTAAATGGGTTGAACCGGTATGCGTGGTTCTCGAAATTCTGGATTCTAACATTATATTTTTACAAATATTTAAATGTTAATTATTAAACGTTAAGAGTTTTTTTAATAAATATTATTTTATAATGATTTCAAAATAATCATAAAGTAAATAAATTGACCCTACCTCCCCAAAGAAATTTTGGGGATTTCGGTTTTGTTTTTTTTAATAATATTGATAGTTTATATTTTTTTATTTAATTATTGTGATTGTTATTTTTGGGAATTATATAGTTATATATATTGAAGGATATGAGTGAGTAGGAATGGGTATTTCATTTAAATTTCATAAGTTTTGACTTGATAAGATTAGTTTTTTATTTTAAAATTTTGAATTCAGCTCGTATTAGTTTTTTTTGAAGGCGAGGTCGGGTTGGGTTTTGGGTGAAAAAACTCGATTCAACATAATATTATAATTATCTTTTATATATTTAGTGATAATTATAATAATACTCATTTCTATTTTATTTTTTTCAATTAAATTTGAATTTTATCTAATAAAAATAAATTATATATGCGTAAGGTCGAGTAGGATATAGGTTTTAATCTAAAAAATTTGAGTGAGACCCTCCTAAATACGGGTCAAGTCGAGTACAAATAGAAGGGTGTAAGTTTCGAGTCGAATACGGATAGAATAAAAATCTGACCTATAATTATACCTAAAATTAAATAATTATCCCGAATTAAATTCAAGATATAATGTAACTCAGGAGACAAAATTGGGAAATAATTAAATATCTTTTATTTTAAATAATAGTTAGGGTTAAATTAAAAATTATTACTTGTCTTAATTTTTAAAAAAATTAATCGTGGTGTTATAATTTTTTTATGAATTTTAATTAATAATTTCACAAACAATAAATAGTGTTTTTTAGGCAAACATTATGATTCATAAAGTACTAAGGTAACAAACTTTTGTTACATCATATGAAACATGATAATGAACCCAACAAACATTTTCTTTCTTGCAAGCATATGAAAAAAATAGACTCCTTGATCCACAAATATTATATATGAAATTGAAGTGCTTACAAACACTTATAAAAATATAGTAACATTTCATCGTTAATCTATATATTATGTATAATTTAGAACCCATTAAGTAGTCTTAGTGATAAAGGAAAATATTTGTTCTTCTTAGAGGTTATGAGTTCGAGCAGTTACGTCTGCAAGGTGTGCATGTATTGTCCTTAAAGGTTTTGAGTTCAAATAGTAATATTTAATTTATGAATTTAATCATTTTATTTTGATATGGGAGAAAAAATATTTTATGTAAAAAGATATTTAAAAATTAAATTAATAAATAATTATGGATGAAGTGATAAAGATTCACGTATAAAGTTATTAGCTATATGTTTAATTCTTAAGTAATATTTTTAATTGTTTCATTTAATAATTATAAAAATACAGTAAGACTTAAACATATTTTACATTAATATTAAATATAATTAATAAAAAATAATATTTTATTTTTTAATTAAATTTTTGTCAAATTGATTTTAACTTCAACTCAATTAAAAATTTTCCAACTAATTAATATTGAGTTGACTCATGAGCATATACGAGTAAAGATGATAAAAAATCTTAAAGGGCATCATGTAAATGACAATAAGTAAGTAATGGGGTGGGTGGGACGGTTATCACTAATTTTTTTATATATTTTAGATTTAATTTTATATTGTTTTTATTAATAATATATTTTATTTTAAAAAAAATTATAATTTCATCTCTTCAGTATTTTATAAATTTATATTTTAAGATTAAGTTTTACTTCTGTCCTAATAAAACATTAAAAGAGAAAAGAGAAAGAAATGGACAATAAAAGCAGTTGAGTGTGCAATTAAAGTGAGAACTGTGAACTGATGACTGCTGCAGGCTGCCCTGTTTTGAGAGGGACTGATTATTTGCTTTTATTTAAAAATAGTAAATTGTGTATTTAGTCATTCAACTATCAATTTAGTTCTGTTTTGGTCATCTAATTATTATTACCTTTTAAATTATCACTAATGTTAAGTTTTGATATCATTTTGGTCACCCCTCGTTGAAGAATTAACGGTAATATTGTCTTCCCACCATAAGGTTATACTATGTTATCATTGAAAAAATAAAAAATTTCATGTTAGCTATTGTGTTAATTTTTTAACAACGTATGATCAAAATAAAATCAAAACATAAGGTTAGTAATGATTTAAAAATAATAATTAAGAGACCAAAATAGAACCAAAGTAATAGTTAGGTGATTAAATACGTAGTTTATCCTTTAAAAATTAACTATTTTATATTTTAAGATAATGAAAAAACTCATTAATAATATATTTAAAGTATTTTCTAAAAAACAATTGTCAACACACATTTTTCGTCCTACTAGGATTCAAACTCCTAAAAATAGGATAGAGTTCTACTATTATTTAAATTCCTAAAAATAGGATCCACAAGCACTATAAATAGCCATTGTAACTCACCATTGTAAGACACGATTTTACACATAAAACACAGAGGAAAGCACGGAAAATACAAAGGCAAAGTTGTTGTAAACGATTCGAAAATGAAATAAAAGGTAGCATCTTTTTTTACATTGGTTCGTTCATTTCTCGCATGTGCACGTTATTTTTCTTGAGATTTGGTTCGAATAACCCAAAACGTGGGTTGCGCCGATGACTAAAAAGGGGTGGGATTTCGAAGTTTCGAACCTAGATCCACCCCCGAGGCGTGTTCATTTTTTAAAATATTTAATTATCCCCCCTAAATCATTTTTTTCCTACTTTATTATTCTTGTTATATATGCATATTACTTTCTATTAATTTTATTATATATGTATATATGTTTTTTTATTAGTGTTATTATATATATATATTTATATATTTCCTATTTTGCATGTATATATATGTATATTACTTTTGATTTTCTTTTTTTTATTATTATTTTACTTATATATATATGCTTTTACTTTTTTATATATTTTACTCATTTATTTATCTATTTTTATATTTATCATATATTTTATGTTTTTATATTCTTTTACTTGTTTTATTTATTTATTTGCATTATCATTTTATTTTTATTTAGTTGTTTGCTATGCATATATTAGTGTTATTGTTTTTTTATTTTATATATTCTATTCATTTTATATTTACTTTATTTCTTTCTTAATCTCCTTATTTTATTTGTTTTACTTTATTTATCATTTATTCATCTCTTCTAACCCATATTTTGACTTTTAAAGGGTATATTTGTAAATCCGTCAAAGGTAAGTAATTTTGGATCATTATTTTATCTTTTAATTTAACTTGTTATTTTTCTTAATTAAGACAACTGGAAATTACGTAGTACCGAAAGGGCGGTTCAAGGGTGCTAATCCTTCCTTGATCGTAACCGACTCCCGAGCCCGACATATTTCTGGTAAGACGCAGATCAGGTAAGAAATAGGGTATCCGATCAACCCATTTATCTTTAAATAAATGATCGGTGGCGACTCAAATCCATATTTTTCAAGTCGAATCCCAATTTCGGGGCCCAACCGAAAGACGGTTGCGACAGCTTGGCGACTCCGCTGGGGAAGCAGGTAAGGGAGTCAGGCTAAGGTAATTTCCAGTTGTCTTTTTAACGAAAAGGGTAAGTTTGAATTTTAAGGCAACATTTCGATCCTTATTACTTACTTTTGGTTATATTTTTTTTCGAGTAAATAGTTGGATTGACCGTTTTCTAATGATTTCAGCTTTCCAAACTTTTTCATCCAAAGGCTCTATACCCGAGCTCCGAACCCTTTTAAGTGGGGGTGAAAGCGACGCCTTCGTGTGAATTTATTCACCGTGTAGGCCTAGAAAGTAGCCTTCGGGATACATACACCTTATGCCTTCGTGTGAATTTATTCTCCGTGTGGGCATAAGGGAATGTTTCCTCTCGAGTTTAACTTAGTCCATACAAGCCTGTGATGGGTTTAGGACTAAGGGTCTGGTAAGCCCAAGGGGCACCAACAAGGAGAACTCGAGTACCGTTTTTTTAGAACCTAAACCGGGAGATGATGGAGAATTAGAGCCCACCCCAAAACCTCATTTCAAACCCTAGGATGCCGGAATTATTTCCTGCTTTACTTTCTGTTCAAAGCATGCGAACTAGACAAATATGCAGTTAGGATTTGTGTGAAATTAGCATGCGGGATAGAGATCATGTCCGGGTAGGAATTAAAGCATGCGGGGTAGATATCATGTGGGGTAGGATTTTTCATTTTTATTATTGTTTTGATTTATCTCACTAACTCTATTTTACTTTTGTTCTCTTTTATTTTGTTTTCATTATTTGCATCATTTAAAAGAGGTGTTGATCCACCAAAAACTTGTTTGTTAAAACATAAATAATCTGCATTAATGGACAAAGGGGTTGTAATACAAGAGATAAGAACGTAGGGGTCCGGCTATGGTCCGAAAAGGGCTCAGAAAGAAAATGAGGACAATTTGCAAGACAATTATGTGTCACATTCATGGTGCGCACAATCAAGTACATCAAAAGTTAACTTTTCAAAAATGGGTTGAAAAAGGTGGCAGGGGCAAGACGAGAAAAAGGTTACTGACCTCGAGAGTCCATTCAAAGACAACAAGAACAAGATGACAAGTCACTGTCGACAAATTCAAGAAACAATCAAATGAACTTCGAATAATCCCTTTGATGGAGGATTTCAATGGAATTTCCAATTCAGCAAAGGATGAAAGCCAGAGATGAAGTCATTCGACAC